TTTAATTGTTTTGCGTCAAACTTGTTGTAATCCTGTGACATATCACATTTTGGTGAATTATAATAATAGAGATTTTATGAAATCTGGCAGATGGCCAAGAATGTTGAAATGACAATTTCCGCTGTATTATTTTGAAAATAATCAATAAAGTATTTTGATGAATTTTTGGTGATGTGATATCCCACTGTAATTGATGAAAACTCTGATGTTTAATTATAATGTTTATATTTTATTTGCTTTGGGAAGTGGGGTGTTACAAGTGGTATCAGAGCAGGTCGGTCCATCCGGCCAGGTTGTCTTGTGTCGTTTGTCCCCTTGTATACGACACGTGTGAAAACACTGTCATTGCGAGGTTAAGTATGCAAAGGGTGGATAGTGACATCCGGTGGATGTTAAAGAAAGCATAAACGTGGAGTGCAAATTGGTGTAGCAAGGCCTTTAAGTATTCCAAGAGTCGAGGATGTGTTGTATGGTCTTCTAAGTGTGAAATTGTTGCAGTACGTCAAATTCCGAGATCACATCTTTTTACGGAATCGAAATCGGACACTCGGAAGTCAGGTAACGGTCGAAATTAAGATTTTGGACTGTCATGTTCGCCAGGTCTTCGCCTAGCGAGCATGCTAGCGAACGACTCCACGCTCGCTACTATGTTCGCCTAGCGAGGAAGTCCTGGGCAAAGAAAGTTGTTTTAGTATTTTTGTCGTAACGGGAGGACCGTAACTCGGAATGACACACGGTTCAAAGTGTTGGAAAGCTAGTCCAATGATCTAGATGATGGTGAAGTATTGGCATGGAATTAATTTAATTATTGATGGACTATTTTTGGATTTAGTAGTGGATGCAGAGTGTGTGGTGCGTGTTTTTGCCACAATTTGCGAAACCGAGTAACCATTTGGCATGAGAATTCTCCATACTTGATTGATTGAAGCAATGATTGTGTTCACCGATGATATTTTGGTATATTCAAAGAAGAGAATAGAGGATCATATTGAGCATAAGGAACTTGAGTTATCAGTACGGGAGAAGAAGCAGTTTTATGCTGCGGTGAGGAGAGTTTCAAAGGGTTTCTGGAGAGCTGTCAACAACTCGTGAATGGGTTGTGCCGGGCTCGACAGAATTAATTATTGTGTTGTGAGAAGCTCTGTTGATATGATTGGAAGATGTGTTCAGTGCAACATTAGTAAGTTGTAGTCATGCCTTACGACAACTTGGAGTGCATAAGAGTAATTGTCTGACAAGTAATTTGGAGTTGGTTACTGTTATGGTTGTTCCCGAGTTGGGGGCTTCAATTGGTTAGTTTGAGCTTTAGAATGATGGTGACCGCCATAGCTTGAGGTACCTGCTTAATTTGGAAGCGTAGTATGTGAGACAGAGAAAGTAATTGGGAACTCTAGAAGGATTATGGTTTTAGACTGAGATTATCATCCGGGAAAGGATAATGTGGTAGCTTATGCTGTAATTTGAAGATCCTTGCATATGATGAAAAGGATGATAGAGAGAGTTGGAACTGGCTAAGCAATTTTGCGATATGAGTTGGTTATGGAGAGACTTCTTGTGGGGCTTAGCTTTGTGTATTGGACATTACTAAGTGACATTCCTAATGAGGTATAAGTGTTATGACTATGCTTCGTCCCTAGTGAGATGATCACCAGGGTAGAATGACCGAGATGTCGTTCCTGGTGAGGTGCAAGGGGCGTACCCACAATCTCCAATGGAGATTGATGAGGATTAATGGGTTTATATGAGTCACGTGGCATAACTATGATTGCGGTATGGAAGTATGCATGTGGGCAATCATGTGTGACTTGGGAAACGGAGAGAGGGCGCGAAAGTCGTGTCCGATATGATTTGAACCAGGAGATATTTTCGAGGACGAAAATTCCTAAGTGGGGGAGAATTGTAACGCCCCGATTTCGATTATTCCTTTTTCGTTGAGTCCTTTTGGTTTAATTGGGCGAATAATTATTTTGAGGCGGAATTAGCGTGGAAATATGTTATGTTTACATATTATCCTATTTTAATCGAGTTTAGGAGTTTTCGGAGAGAATAGTTTTGGAGGGTATTTTAGACATTTCCTATTTAATGATAAGTGGGATATTTTATGAGATATTAAATTAGTAGATGTTTTGGAAAAATAATGGAAAAGATATAAAAGAGGAAAATAGAAGAGAAAGAGGGAGATAGTAAGAAAGGGAGGAAAGAAAAGAGAAAGAAAGAAGGAGAAGAGAAAAAGAGGAGAAAGAAGAGGAAACTTCGAAAATCATCAAGATCAACCAAAGCATGCAATTAATCAGGTAAGGGTGAGAATGTTTATCATCTTAATAATGTATAAGGTCATATATGTGCTAGATTGGAATCGTTTAGTAGTTTTCCATACTTTCCATTTTTAGGTCGAAGTTGGATTAATCGATAGAAATCGTTATTTAATGGTTAGAATCGTGTTTAGATACCGTATATTAGTCGATATATGTTAGGCTAAGGCTATTGGAATAACATGGATTTAATCGGGTAATTTCGGTGAGTTTGGAAGAGTTGGAGAAGAACTGAATATTGTTGTTCGCAGGCGACTCGCTAGCAGTTCGCTAGGCGAGCACGTAGCGAACGTTCGCTAGCAGCTCGCTAGGCGAGCGTATAGCGAACGGTCCCAGACTTGGGACAGTGGTGTTTTGGTCTCCTTCGCTATCCGCGAAGGGAGTAGCGAAGAGCTCACTGGGGGTTCGCTGTGGCGAATGAGGTAGCTAACGAGGTCTGTAGCTTCTGTTTGTGCTCGCTAGCAGTTTGTTAGGCGAGGAGGTAGGGAACGCTCGCTAGCAGCTCGCTAGGCGAGCGTGTAGCGAACGTAGCAGAGTGAATTTTCTCTGCTGATTGTGTGTTGTTGTGGCTTGGGGTTCCGGTTGCGATCGACCCTTCTCTGATTTAAAAATTGGTGTGCTGGTTTGTGATGTGTTGTGGGTAGCCGAATGGCGTGAATCCTAGAAATCGATTTTTATCGGGAATTAGTGGCCGTTTGGCAATTTTAAGCGTTTGTCCGAATTGAATGGAAATGCATGATAGATTAGCATGAGAGCACATAGATTGTAGGTACCTAGGTGAGGTGAATACGCATAGTAATGTAATTACGAATATGTATGCGCGTAGAGAAATGTCGTGAGTCATTTTGCATAAAAGGCATTATGATGGACAATCTAGAGATATTTGATCCCGTGTAGGATCTGCAGAACCTCGCTTGATGCGATGGTTATATTTGATCCCGTGTAGGATCTGCAGAACCTCGCTTGATACGATGGTTATATTTGATCCCGTGTAGGATCTGCAGAACCTCGCTTGATGCGATGGTTATATTTGATCCCGTGTAGGATCTGCAGAACCTTGCTTGATGCGATGGTTATATTTGATCCCGTGTAGGATCTGCAGAACCTCGCTTGATGCGATGGTTATATTTGATCCCGTGTAGGATCTGCAGAACCTCGCTTGATGCGATGGTTATATTTGATCCCTTGTAGGATCTGCAGAACCTCGCTTGATGCGATGGTTATATTTGATCCCGTGTAGGATCTGCAGAACCTCGCTTGATGCGATGGTTATATTTGATCCCGTGTAGGATCTGCAGAACCTCGCTTGATGCAATGGTTATATTTGATCCCGTGTAGGATCTGCAGAACCTCGCTTGATGCGATGGTTATATTTGATCCCGTGTAGGATCTGCAGAACCTCGCTTGATGCGATGGTTATATTTGATTCCTCGAAGAATTTGATGAGTTATAGTGTAACCGCATAGGGGTGAGAGGAGTGATTCCTAGGAGAATCTGACGGACGAATGAGTCGATACCGTATGTTTCGGGGTGTGTGTGCGCGCACGTGTTGCGTGACTGTATGTTGCGATTAATGGTGGGACAGTTAGCCCGATTGATATGCATGTGAAATGATTTATATAGATTCTTCCTTTTATTTCATGTACTATTATACCATTATTATTTGATCGTGATTCTCACCCCTTTGTTGTTGTTGTTGTGGTCTGTGCTTCCTCGGAAGTACAGATAATCCAGGTACATAGATAGCTTGGATAGCGGTGTCCAGATTGAGTCTTAGGGTGCTCTGATACGTAACACGGGATATGGGTGTTTTAATTGTTTTGCGTCAAACTTGTTGTAATCCTGTGACGTATCACATTTTGGTGAATTATAATAATAGAGATTTTATGAAATCTGGCAGATGGCCAAGAATGTTGAAATGACAATTTCCGCTGTATTATTTTGAAAATAATCAATAAAGTATTTTGATGACTTTTTAGTGATGTGATATCCCACTGTAATTGATGAAAACTCTTATGTTTAATTATAATGTTTATATTTTATTTGCTTTGGGAAGTGGGGTGTTACATTGTCAGTCCGCCAATGTTGAAATGTAGGATCTGTTTGAGGGGGTTGCGGGAAATCTCCGTTGATATATCCCAGTTTGTCTTTGCCCGAGATATACATCTCGACCACCTGGGACCAAAGGGAATAGTTGCTGCCATCTAACTTGATGCCAATCGGTGCCACCGTATGGTCAGAGCCAATTTGTGACGGGGCTGAAGCACGGTTCAGGACTTCCGTCATTTTCGTCGTCAACTCAGCAAGAATAGAAGACAAGGTAGTCTCATCGGAGTTTGAATCTGAGTCGGCCATGGAAGAAGGATGGAAAGTGTTACCGTAGGTCTGGATTAAGACCTGGCGGCTGATACCATGTTAAATTGGTATAATATTTTCATATATTTCAATAGTATACATCAGATGGGAATTGGTTATATTTATATACACAGAAAACCCTATTTCTAATTATAACTAAATCAGAATAATTATAACCAAATCAGAAAAATTAACAATTAATAACTATATTCCTATTATAGTCCCTACAATTTTGTTGACAGCTAACGCCAACAGGCAATAATCGGAGTATGGTCGGAAGTGGAGAGCCAACACTTCGATCAAGTAGCATCAAAACTTGTAACAAAATTGGGGATGAAGCCTTTATTTGGAAATCCTACGGATCAAAAAGTTGTGGAAGAGAATGAAGTAAAGTTGGATAGGATTCTTGATGTGTATGAGAAACGATTGTCCGAGTCAAAATACTTGGGAGGTGAGTGCTTCACATTGGTGGATCTGCATCATTTACCTTCTCTTCATTACTTGATGAAGTCACAGAGCCAAAAACTGTTTGAGTCGCGGTTTCATGTTAGTGCTTGGGTGGTTGATATTACTGCAAGACCAGCCTGGTCTAAAGTTCTTGCCATGCTACCTAAATAATCATCCATTTCTGGATATTTCTTGTGCTTTTGTTGTTTTGTTTGTTTGCTATCGTCAATTTTCAATTGTGCTGTAAGAGGAACGAATAATATAAAAAAAAATACCGTTCTTGTTTGTAAACTCTCAATCATTTGGGGGCTTAAAATGCAGGACAAAAATTGGTTTGTGAAAATCAGTTTACAGGAAATGAAAAAAAGAGTTAGAAATCTTAAAACTGGTTGAAAATTAAAAACTTACGCCTCCGGGGAATCAAACCCCGGTCAGTACCGTGGGAGGGTACTATGATACCACTACACCAGAAGCGCTATTGATGGTAATCCAATTATATTACCCATATGTAACTTGATAATTAAAATAAAGTTTTTTGTTGGGATAATATAAAAGAAGTCTTTGAGCCTTTTCTCGCCAGCAAAATTTCAAGAGGAAGAAAATTAATAATACAACATGAAACATAACTGTTAATAAATTTTGTTAAAAAAAAACTGTTAATAAATTTGTTTTGTGTTCACATATAAAAAAAAAATCTTTGTGTTTATTTACATTTTTTTAATCTTTGTGTGTATTTAGCGGAAGCAGAATCGGATTTTTAGTAAAGAAAAGAGGAGTATAGAAGATTGCGAGACAACATTGCAAGAAAGCTCAAACTTGTTATTTAAAGGTGTTCCAAGGTGTGTTTACAAATCTAACAGATTTTTTTTTATATGTGAACACAAAACAAATTTATTAACATTTTTTTTAAACAAAATTTATTAACAGTTATGTTTCATGTTGTATTATTAATTTTCTTCCTCTTGAAATTTTGCTGGCGAGAAAAGGCTCAAAGACTTCTTTTATATTATCCCAACAAAAAACTTTATTTTAATTCTCAAGTTACATATGGGTAATATAATTGGATTGCCATCAATAGCGCTTCTGGTGTAGTGGTATCATAGTACCCTCCCACGGTACTGACCGGGGTTCGATTCCCCGGAGGCGCAAGTTTTTAATTTTCAACCAGTTTTAAGATTTCTAACTCTTTTTTTCATTTCCTGTAAACTGATTTTCACAAACCAATTTATGTCCTGCATTTTAAGCCCCCAAATGATTGAGAGTTTACAAACAAGAACAGTATTTTTTTTTATATTATTCGTTCCTCTTACAGCACAATTGAAAATTGACGATAGCAAACAAACAAAACAACAAAAAGCACAAGAAATATCCAGAAATGGATGATTATTTAGGTAGCATGGCAAGAACTTTAGACCATGCTGGTCTTGCAGTAATATCAGCCACCCAAGCACTAACATGAAACCGCGACTCAAACAGTTTTTGGCTCTATGACTTCATCAAGTAATGAAGAGAAGGTAAATGATGCAGATCCACCAATGTGAAGCACTCACCTCCCAAGTATTTTGACTCGGACAATCGTTTCTCATACACATCAAGAATCCTATCCAACTTTACTTCATTCTCTTCCACAACTTTTTTATCCGTAGGATTTCCAAATAAAGGCTTTATCCCCAATTCTGTTACAAGTTTTGATGCTACTTGATCGAAGTGTTGGCTCTCCACTTCCGACCATACTCCGATTATTGCCTGTTGGCGTTAGCTGTCAACAAAATTGTAGGGACTATAATAGGAATATAGTTATTAATTGTTAATTTCTCTGATTTGGTTATAATTATTCTGATTTAGTTATAATTAGAAATAGGGTTTTCTGTGTATATAAATATAACCAATTCCCATCTGATGTATACGATTGAAATATATGAAAATATTATACCAATTTAACATGGTATCAGCCGCCAGGTCTTAATCCAGACCTACGGTAACACTTTCCATCCTTCTTCCATGGCCGACTCGGATTCAAACTCCGATCAGACTACCTCGTCTTCTATTCTTGTTGAGTTGACGACGAAAATGACGGAAGTCCTGAACCGTGCTTCAGCCCCGTCACAAATTGGCTCTGACCATACGGTGGCACTGATTGGCATCAAGTTAGATGGCAGCAACTATCCCCTTTGGTCCCAGGTGGTCGAGATGTATATCTCGGGCAAAGACAAACTGGGATATATCAATGGAGATTTCCCGCAACCCCCTCAAACAGATCCTATATTTCGACATTGGCGGTCTGACAACGCGATTGTTAAGGGATGGATAATCAACTCAATGGACTCCTCTCTAATCAGCAACTTTATTCGATTCTCAACTGCCAAACTGGTGTGGGATGCAATTGCGACCACGTACTTCGATGGCAGTGATACCTCCCAAGTGTATGACCTTCGGCGACGGGTGACACGTCTTAAACAAGCCGGTGGTTCTCTTGAAAAATATTATAACGATCTCAAAGGACTTTGGCGTGAGATAGATTTTTGTCGTCCAAATCCGATGACATGTCAAGTTGATATCCAACACTACAATACACTTGTCCAAGAAGAACGAGTGTATGTGTTTTTGGATGGACTTGATGACCGCTTGGATAATATCAAAAGCGACGTTTTACAAATGAAACCGTTCCCAACAGTGGAGCAAGCATATGCACATGTTAGGAGGGAAGCTCTTCGTCAGGCAGTGATGACAGACAACTCCAATGAATTATCAGGAGCAGGTCTTGCATCCAAGGGTCTCAAATTACAAAACAGTAAGATATTTTCTCAATCCAAACATAAAGAACCATCTAATGACACTAAGTGCTCTCATTGTGGAGGTAACAAACATACTAGTGAGACATGTTTTAAGCTCCATGGCTATCCAGACTGGTGGACAGACTTTCAGGCTCGAAAGCGTCGCGAAACAACTGAGAGCAACCCGGGCAAAGCTGCAGTAGCTACTGCTGAACCACATCTTTCCCTCATTCCGAAATCAAGTTCCCACACCACTGAAGGTAATGTTCTAATTTGCTCTAATCATGATGATGACTCTAACGCATGGATACTTGATTCCGGAGCTACCGATCATATGACGTTTGATGCTGCTGATTTCTCTGAACGTTCAACCCCTCGGCGCTCAAGTATTGCCAACGCAAATGGTGATTTATCGGCAGTAACAGGGGCTGGAACTATGATGTTATCACCAACCCTTTTGCTTTCAAATACATTACTTGTTCCCTCTCTATCTCATAAGTTGTTATCTGTGAGTCAAGTTACAAAAGACTTGAACTGTGTTGTTCTAATTTATCCATCTTTCTGTTTTCTTCAGGATATTCTCACGAAGGAGATCATTGGGTGTGGTACTAAGAGAGTGGGACTTTACTATATGGAAGATTTTAGTGTAGGCCGAGCGCATCACATGCATTACCCAAGAAACAACAAAATGGAGCAAGTCTTACTTTGGCATCGTCGATTAGGCCATCCTTCGTTTGGCTACTTGAAACATGTGTTCCCAAACTTATTTTCAGATAAATCTTTGTTGAACTTCAAATGTGAAGCTTGTATTTTAGCCAAGAGTCATCGAGTCACTTTTCCATCAAGTATGAATAAAAGTAATGTTCCTTTTGCTTTAATCCATTCTGATGTATGGGGTCCATCCCCAAAATCGTCTCTCTCTGGTTATCGGTGGTTTGTTATATTTGTTGATGATTGCACTCGAATGACTTGGATTTATTCGTTGAAACAAAAAAATGAAGTGGTACATATATTTCAACAATTTCATAAAATGATTTAGACTCAATATTCAACGAAGATTAGGATCCTTCGCTCTGATAATGGTGGGGAGTTTGTAAATCACCAATTCCATGAGTATTTAAAAAAACACGGACTTATTCACGAAACCACGTGTCCACAAACTCCACAACAAAATGGTATTGCAGAACGGAAAAATCGCCATATCCTTGAAACCGCTCGTGCTTTTTTACATGGAGCACATGTGCCTCACCACCATTGGACTGATGCTGTTACTACAGCAGTATATCTCATCAATCGGATGCCATCGAAGGTTCTTGAATTTAAAACTCCGCTGTAGACCTTGTCCACATTTGTACCGCTGCCTACAATACAAATGCTGCCACCTCGTGTCTTTGGATGTGTTGTGTTTGTTCACCTACATAAAAACCAGCGTACAAAGCTTGATCCGTGTGCCATTCGCTGTCTGTTTTTGGGATATGGTGTACACCAGAAAGGGTATCGCTGCTATGACCCTACTACTCGACGCATTTATGTAACTATGGATGTTACATTCTTGGAATTTGACCATTTCTACTCCTCGGCAGCACCCAATTCTTCTCTTCAGGGGGAGACACCAGAAGAAGATTCGAATTAGTCGACATTTGACTGGTTCAAAGATATTGATATACCATCAACTGAAGTGGCTGGTGATTCGTGTCAAACTCAAACAGACCATATGAGTCCTGAAGTTGAAGTATCAGAATCCCCCATCTCCAGTACTCAACGATCCATCTCCTGAGAATATCATTGAGGTAAGCTCTCCTATATCTCTTGATAATAATAATAATAGTGATATCTCTGTTAGCTATGAATTACCTCATAGGCATAATCGGGGAAAACCACCGAAGCGTTACTCTCCTGAAGAAGAGGATCATCGATCAAGGTATCCAATTGCTAATTATGTCTCTATGAAGGAATTATCTGAACCCCTTAAGAAATTTGCAAATGAACTATCTTCACACAGTGTACCTAGCAACGTTGAAGAGGCCATTGAAGACACTAGATGGGTTCAAGCTATGAATGAAGAAATGGAGGCATTAAACAAGAATGCGACATGGACCCTTGTCCCTTTACCAAAAGGAAAGAAACCAGTAGGGTGTAAGTGGGTTTTCTCTATCAAGTACAAAGCTGATGGGTCAATTGAAAGGTACAAAGCAAGACTAGTAGCTAAAGGCTTTACACAAACATATGGCGTAGACTATCAAGAAACCTTTTCTCCTGTTGCCAAGTTGAGCACTGTCAGAGTTCTTTTATCTCTTGCAGTAAATCTTGATTGGCCATTGCATCAGTTAGACGTGAAAAACGCCTTTCTCCATGGGCACTTGAAAGAAGAAATATATATGGATATCCCTCCGAGAT